GACCGAGAATTCAGCAAGCCCTGACTCAGAAAGAACCACAGTCAGCAGACAATCTATCTCATCCACTGGTTCTAATGTGGGAAGAAGAGGAGATGTCAGGAGCCTGAAGGAAATGCACACAGGCCGTTGGTGTGAAGGGAGCGGGAAGATGCTCCTGTCCGGGTGGAGCACGGAGGCCCGGGGAGCGCTTGGGAGGAGAGGCCTCCGATTGATTAAGCTGAATCCTGAAGGTCCGCTGGCCACATCCCTCTTTCCTGCCCTCCTGCTCCAGGCCTGTGTGAAGTCCACGGGCTGCTGGGTCTGCTGGATGGGCAGCATTTGTAAGCAACTCTCTCCCCAGCCCAGTTAATAATTCAGGAGCCGGTGCCTGCAGCCGACCCATCATTCCAGCCCTGCTGCCACCCCGAACGCTGAGCTAGTGGACAGGAAAGAAAAAATCACTGCGCCGGCTTGAAAAATGGTCCTCACTCGAGGTGCTTGCTGGGTGCTCATTGCTGGGGTGGGAGAGAGCCAGGCTGAGACGTATCTGCCGGGCGCACAGTGAGGGAAGGACGGAACGGCCCTGGGACTTGCGGGCCTGCACGTGGAGCATTATTTAACCTTTGGAGCCTGAGCTGCCTTTGTTTTTGGACAGTGGGCTGTAGCCACTGGAGAGCAGGCCTGGGAGGACCCAGCTCTCTCCTGATGCAGCCTTTCACTCCCGTGCCCGCTCACTCATTCATTTGGCCATCACTGATGTCGCTGACACACAAGTGGGCATGGAGGATGCAGAGAGGGCTGGGGAGTGGCTCCTCCCCGCAGGGAGGTGGACGCTTGTGCTCTCAGGCACCAGGCAGTGAGAGGCGCACTGCTCAGAGGCCTGAGACAAGATGGCTGCGTAGGGGCTCTGCGTATGGGTGTGGCCTGTTGCCTGGGTGTGCTGGGCCCCAAGTGTCTCAAGTGGAGAAGGAGGGTAAAGAGGTTAAGAGTTAAGATCATGGACTCTGGGGCAAGGCTGCCTAGGCTCAAATCCCAGCCCTGTCATTTACTTACACAGAGTTAGCCTCTCTGTGCCTCAGTCTCCCTATATGTAAAATGGCATTAATAATGGGAAACTGATGCCAACCACCTGCCTATATGGTTAAAACAAAAAACCCAAACTGACCAGTACAAAGTGCTGGCAACTTAATGGTGTCATCAGAAAAGAATTTGGAAGTTTCTTATAAAGTTAAACAACACACCATCCAACAATCCCACTCCTAGGTATTTATCCAAATGAAATGGAAAACTTATACAAAAACCTGTATATGAATGTTTATAGCAGTTTCATAATCTTCCCAAACTGAAAACAACCCAAATGCCTTCCAACCAGAGAACTGATACACCATGGAACACTACTCAGCTATAAACGTAAAAATGGGTGAATCTCCGATGCATTATGCTAAGTGGAGGAAGTCAGACTCAAAAGGCTATATACCATGTGATTCCATGTATATGATGTTCCGGGAAACTATAGGGTCAGAAAAGTGGCTCGTGGTTGCTGAGGTTGGGGGCGGGATTACTAGCAAGGGGCATTAGGGAGTTTTGGGAGTGATGGAGCTATTTGGTATTCTGATTATGACTCTATGTATGTGTTTGTCAAAAATCATAAAACTGTACACTAAGAAGGTGAATTTTGCCATGTCGAAATTATGCCAGGCAGCGAGAACAGCACGTGCAAAAGCACCGAGGCTGGAAATCAGGTTTGAGATATAAAGCAGATCTGAGATGTGCGTGGGAGGAAGTGTCAGGAGGTGAGTCAGGGAAAACATATTGGACCAGTTCGTGAAGAGCCTTGGATGCTGTGCCCAGTGCTCTGGACGGTGGGAAAGTGTCAGAAGTTTTTAAGCAGTTGAGGAATATCAGCAGGTTTTTGTTTCAGAAAGATAGCTCTGTTCTCTGTTTAGAGAACTGGGCATATGGGTATGACTCTGCCTTCAGAAATGTTTTCATTTGCCTTATAGTTTCTTTTTTTTTTTTTTAAAGGAATTTGAATGTGTGATCAGTTATTTAAAAATCGGGAGATTTTCCACAGAAGTCTGGGTGTCTGGCCTCTCTTTGGATGAGACACAAGCTCTCCAGTTTGCACAGCCCACCCCCATCCTTTATACTGCATTCCCTTCCTGTTTTTGACCCCAGAGGTTGCAAGTGGATCCCAGGAGGGCGAGATCCAGGGCGACGGCGTGTCTCAGTCCTGGTCCGAACACTATCAGCCCCTGGGGCACTTTGTGAGGTACCGATGCCCAGTCCAAGTCGCCGGGAGAAGCCTGCACGTGTGTGTTCTGTAAATGTCCTCACTCTCCCCGCCATTGTAATGTGCAGCCGGAGTCGAGGACTGCTGCTCTGGGGGATGGGGAAGAGGGAGGGGACGGGGTGGCAGCAGTGGCCATGGAGAGGTGTGCAGGGACCGATGAGACATAGGGCTCAGGCAGAGCGAGATCAAAGTGACGTTCAGGGTCCCGGCTTGGACAACTTTGGTGCGAGGATGCCATGTGCCGAGAAGAGACACGGGAGGAAGAGGTGGGCACGAGACAGTGGCGAACTCAGTTTTGGCCATGCTGTGTCTGAGGGCCCCGGGCTTCTGTGAGCTCGCCTTTCTCCCCTGAGATAGGGAAGCAGGAGGAGGTGGGGGGAGGGGGAGTGAGACTGCCGAACTTCCCCCAGAGCCCTGCCTGCGGAAGACAGGGGCGCACTTCATTAACATTCATACGCTAAAACCTATTCCCCCAATGTGATGGGAATCAGGAGGTGAGGCCTTTGGGAGGTCGTTAGGTCTTGGGGGCGGAGCCCTCACGAGTGGGATCAGTGCCCCTATACAAGGCGCCAGAGCGCTCCCTCACCCCTCCCGCCGCGTGCGGTCATGGTACAACGATGGCTGTGTGTGAGCAAGTGTGCCCTCACCAGACACCTGGTCCGCAGGCACCTCGATCTTGGTCTTCCCAGCCTCTAGAACTGTGAACAACACTTTTCTGTTGTTTGTATGCACCAGTTTACGGCATTTGGTTACAGCCACCCAAAAGGACTAAGACACTTGGTAGGGGTGGGAGGCCCTTCTCTTGTCTGCCCTGGGTCATGGGTGCTCAGGGCCTGCTCGGCAACTTTGCCTGGAGGAAAGTCGGGGAGAACGTGCTCAAAAGAGGTGCTTGTGGTTGAGAAGAGACTCACCAGACCAGACATGTGGTGCCCTCACACCCAGAGCCAGTCACCCCTTCCTCAACCGACCAAGCCCTCTGCTGAGACATCTTGCCTCCTCGCAGACGCTATGGCTGTGTCTTTTTTTTTTTTTTTTGCCAATAACCTTTTCTCTATATTACCTATAATTATCCTTTCTGAGCCTGTGAGTGAAGACAGAAACCACTGTGCCCATTTTACAGATAAGCAAAAAAAGGGAAACAAAAACATTTCTTTCGTACCTATCACTTGCTAGTACCTGGTATATATATTCGTGTAATCCACATAACCACCCTGTGTATGAAATAGGGGTTACTGTCCCCATTTTCCAGATGAGAAACCGAGGCTCTGAAAGTGTTAAGTGCTTTGCCCAGATGGCCAGCTCAGGAGTGGTAGAGTGGGTAGCCAAACCCTTTTCGTGCCCCCCACCCCCCGAGACCTAGGCCTGGATTGCACACACCGACCCACACACAGATGGCCTCTCCAGACACCTTTATTGTCTTCGGTGGACCCTCTGCTTTCCTTTTGGTACCTAGTGGATGTCTTCACGACCGTCTCTGGCCTCTTCCCCTGTGTAGACCCACTCACTCCCCCGAGTCTATGAGATCAGCCCAGGGAGGGGCTTTATTGTCCTGAGAAAGGAGGGGCAGAGACTATGGCCCTTCCATCCACCTAGGGATGTTCACTGAACGGCCCAGAGCTTCCCCCTTGCAGCTTTTCCTGGCCGGGGTGGGCTCTGTCACCATTAAGCACTTACCATGGCATTGTCCTGCTATAGGAAGCACTGTCTCAACCTTCTGAACAAAGGACATTCCTGGCAGCCCTTCTTGTCTCTCTGCCTCCTCTGACCCACACAGAGACATGAACGGGGTGTCAGGGAGCCTTTGCTCCTGGGAAGGTTCTGGGTGGAAGCTGCCCGGAGACAGTGCTCAAAAAGGAAGTGTAAAGCTCCCTTGGATGATGGTCCTCAGGGATGGGGTCCCTTGACACAGCCCTCTTGAGTGTTCTCACTAGGTGCTGCTTCCTGTGGGCTGCCGGCATGCACGGCCTCTCCTGGTGGTCCATCCCTGGGGATGGTCACTGTGGGCTGTGCTCCTGGGGGTGCTGGGAGGCACGGAGGTGCTCCCCCTGCACTGTGCCCCTCTTGCAGGTGCTCCTGTGGACAGCGTGTGTTACAGAGCTTGGCAGGGACTGAGTTCCCTGTGGACATGGCTGCCCACATCTGTTGCTCACTCAGATGGTTCTCCATGTGGACAGTCCCAACCACCTTTGGTACTTGTTTCTCCTGAGCTTGTCATGGTTGGTGGTGGTTGTAGATGGTGTTCCTCATTTAGGATGGTTTCATCACGGAAGTTTCTAAGTTGTGACAGTTCTTAATATAGCCGGCATTTGCCCCAGATAAACAGCTGTCACCACGGATGAGTTTGGTATTAATACAAGTGGTCCCACTACGACAGTGTTCACTCCAGATGGTTTTGTCGTGGATGGATCTTGTTGTGGATGGCCCATTGCTGAGGTTCACGTACTGATGTCATTACCACTGGCTGTTTTGACACAGGTGGTCCCAGTGTTGGTGACCTTGATACTACAGCTCTTCTTATCTACAATGCTTCTCAATATAGATGGTCTCAGTGTAGATGGTGCTTAGCCTCAAAAGTTCTTGCCACTTGTCACCTGCCTGCTGACGGTTGTTGCTACAGATGGGACTATCCATCGATGGTTTTCGACACAATCAGTGTGCCCTTTTTAAATGCCTTTCCTACTTGTTTTGGCAATAAATACTCTGGGTGAAATCCTGGTTTGCTGGGCCCTCACGCCTGCAGTTTTTCAGGAGGACCCAGTTGCTGGAGAGGCGCGGATGTCTGGGCACGCTGCTCGTCCTTGACCACCATTTTGCTGTTTTTCATGTCGGCCCCCGTCTTGTCCTTCGGGACACTGGTGCTGCTCCTTGGCCCACTTTGCTCACCGCTGTCCAGCCCGATGCTCTGGCGGCTGTTGGCCTGGGTGGAAGGGAGGCTGCTGGCGGTGGAGAACAGCCCGCTGCTCACCTGGAAGGTCAGAGCGCTGCTGCCCAGGCTGACGAAGCTGATGCTGGGCAGGCTGCTGCTGCTGCTGCTGCTGCCGCCGCCGCCCAACAGGCTGGGCTCACTCTTCCCCTCCAGGGTGCTTGGCGCTGCGGGCCTGGCTGGACCGCTGGGGCACCTGGGGGTTGGGCTTTTTATTCACCCGGATGGTTCGATGACTGCCCACCAAGCTGACCTCGCTGTTCTCCTCGTCGCCTTCGTACCCGCTGCTCAGCAGGCTGGAGTGACTGCATTGCTCCAGGCTGGGGTGTCGCGTGCCCAACGCATGGCTCTCACTGCTCCGGGTGTTCCCCAGGTTACTACAGGAAACTTTCAGGGGCTCCTGAGTCGCTCCTGCATGGTGTGGCCGTGTGTGGGTTTGGAGCGCTAAGCTGGGTGACTGTAGGCTTGGCACTTGTCTCTGAGCATTCTGGGCAGAAGACTCCCCCTTTTCTTCCTTGAGGAAAATGGGGGGCAACGGAATTGGTTTGTCCAGGAGGAGGGGGTCCAGGGAGGCTTCTGAATGTTGCTCGTGGCCTGTCTGGGGAGAGGTGACTCAATTTATAAGGCTGCCCTTTGAAAACTGGGTGTTCTGATTGGCTGGCTCAGTTCCTACGGTGATGGGGTCTGTGAGGTGGGGGGGCGGGGAGGGAGGGAGAACAATGCTGCCCCAGCACCAATCACACTGGAGGGGGCCTGGCTAGAGGGGCCTGGCCCGGAGGGGGTGGGTCAGGCAGGAAAGGGGCTCGTGGCCAGAGGGGGTGAGAACACCTTCCCGGGAGCCTTTCTGAGGGGCCTGTGGCCTCTGCTTTGCCAGCCACTAGGTCCAGAGACCTGGTTGTGCACCCCCTGCTGAGCCCCTTAAGAGCTGCGTTTCTTCATCTCGGGCACCTCTGCTTCCTTGCCGAGGTGGTTGTGAGGATGAGAGAGAAGACCACAGTCAGGAGTTTTAACCTCAGTTCCTTGCCAGATCTGCAAGGCCCTGCGTGGTCTGGCCTCCCAGCCCTGTTGCACACCACATTCTTAGCCCTTCCTCCCCTGGACGCCCAGTCAGGCTGGCTGCTCTCTCATTCTGAGCTTTTTACCTGCCACAGGGCCTTTGTACTTACTGGCTGCTCCCACCTGGATGATCTTCTGTGGCTTCTCATCCTTCTTCAGTCTTCAGGTTTCAGCCTAAGCATCCCTCTCTCAGGGAGCCTCCCCCATCCTCCCCAAGAAGATCCCTCCGGTATTCTTCATGCCACTTCCTAATTGATGTTTCTTGTGACATTAATGAATTACATATTGGTTATTTACCGCCAGTTCCCTCGGCCAGAATATAAGCTTGGCGAGGGCAGAGATTGTGATTTCTTATCTTCTGCCCTGACCCTGATACATCCTGCACAAGGCCTGGCACTTAATAGATACTCACTAGACATTGATTGAATGAATGAATAAATGAACCACCCTGCCGTGTGCATCACAACCACCTAGGGAACTTTTAAAAAACATGTTTGAATTCTCTAAGACTATGGTTTTTGTCCTCAGCCACCCATTGGAATCACCTGGAGATGCCTGGGTCCCACCCCAGGGGTTCTCAGTTAATTGGTCTGGGGTGAGGCTTTGCCAACAGAATTTGAAAACACTCCCCAGGAGATTCCAGTGCGTGCCAGTGTTGAGACTTGTGCTTGGACACAGCTGCGCATTTTCGTAGGCGATTGTGATGTGTAACCCCAGTGAAGTAGACTGCAGATGGAAACACACACCTGTTTATTAGCAGACACTTAAGAGATGTTTGAGTGATGGACTGAATTAAGATTTCATTGACCTGAATTAAGAGTTCATGGGTGGGTTTTAAGGACTTTGAGAATTTGTTGCAATTGTGCGCAAAATTTGTGAAGAGCTGCATACGTGATTTCTTTCCCATGAGGAAGGAGTTATAGCTTCCATCAAATTCTCAAGGGTATCCACCATCCCCAAAAGATTAAGAAATATAAAGATTCAACGCAACTCGTCTCTTAGCGTTCGGAAGGCCTTGGTGCTTAGCACGGCCCTGATAGGTCTGGAGAGGGCTTGGTCTGTTTGGGAATCAGGGTCAGGGGAGAAGGAAGACACACCTCAGAGAGAAAGCCACTCCGCCCCTTGACAGTCATTGCTAATTATCACTGTGATCTTTATTATGAATTCCTTTCCCACTGCGGGGGGCATTCCACTTCCCATTGCTGTACACACAGGCATAGGTTTTGCTCCAGAAATTCGGATCCTTCTGGGGCGGGGAGGGGCATCTCATAGCTGTCTGATTCCCTGTCCCCACAGCCCCCTGTGCTCCTGAGTGGCAGGGAAGAGAGACACAGTGGCTTAGTGGTGATGCTCAGAGTAAAGGGGTGTGGTGGGACCCAACTGTTGTGAGAAGCAGGGACAAGGTCTGGCCCATTAGGGGACTGGCAGGAGAGAGGCAGGGCGTCGGGTGGCAGGCAGGTGGGCTGGGACTCAGGACTGGCTCTGTCCCTGCACAGATACAGAACAGGGCAGATGCCCCAATGCTGGAGATTTATGGTGAGCCTGTTGGGGCGTGGCTTCTCTCCTCTCCCCAGTCCCCATCACCTGACCCAGGTATGGGCCTGAGGACTGGGTGAGCACTTGGGCTTGTTCAGGATAAATGGCAGAGACCATGTAGTAATCGTAGCCCCCTTCCTCTATGGCACACGGAACGCCAGATCTGTAGCCTGTGGATACAGTGAGGCCACACGGCTCAGCTTAGCACCCACCTTCTTGAGAGCTTATTTGGAGGTTTTAGCGGGGGAACGGTCCTCCTCTATTGGGGAAGGCTTGCGTCTCATTCTGGGGACCAGGTACCAGATTGCCTTTCTTGTTTCCAGTCTATTGCTGTTTGCCCCCAGAAACCCTCCTCTCACCCAAACACACATTCCAGCCTCTGTCTCCAGCTTCCCTTTCTCTCATGTATGTCAATTTCTTCACACAGGACCAGCAGCCCAGCAGTCACAGCCTGACTGAGTCCCAGGCAAGGCTCAGACAGGAAACCTGGTTATAATCACATTGTCTGTGGATCCTGGTGATCAAGTGTCTACCCTTCTCTGGTGTGACAGAGAACGCTATGTGCTCATCATCAGACCATCTCATTTCCCTCCTGGGCCTGTAGGAAAAGTTCATTTCTAGCCCCCTCGCATCTAGGTGGGGCTAATAGAGTGTGAGCATAATGGATGTTCACCACTCAAGGCTGGGGCCACAAAACAACCCCCATACGTGGTCTTTCTCTTTCTTCCCTTTCTGCATGGGTCTTGGAAGCCACACACTGAAGGTGGCAGAGCCCCCTAGTGGCTGGAGCCTGGGTCCCTGAATGTCTGTGTGGAGAACCCCCGCCCCCCACCCAATGCATTTGTGATGTCAGTGACTAATGCGCTGTTAAGCCATCAGGATTGGGGGTTATTTGTCACCGCAGCAGAGTCTGCTCTACATGGACTAATGTACCACGAGCCCAGACACGGTCAATGGGTTTTACTGGATTTAGCTTTACCCTGAAGGTTTCTGCGGTGGGTTCTGGAGCTGTGTTCCTGCCCCAACACCTGCCCTGAGAATCTCAGCATCAAAGTCCCCTGATGAGAGGCAATGCTTTTTCATATTATGAGGATGGAAAAGGATATTACCAGAGAGAACTTCACCAGCCCAGAAGACTGGCCATCAGCCCTGGGCCTCCAACCCTAATATTCACCCTGAAATTCCAGCAGAAACCCTTGCTAAGTTAGGTGTCAGCTCTCTGAGTGCAACTCACCCTAAGCACTCCTGACTGCGGCTTGTTTTCATTCATTCATTCAACAAATATTGAATGGGGGGGTGAGGTGGAGCCGGGAGCCAGGATTTGCTGAGGGATTAAGACAGGGGGATGGATGAGAGGAAGAGAGGGCTCTGCCTCCAGTCAGCTATGCCACCTGGGCAGGTGATTCAAACCCTCTCAGCCTCAGTTTCCTCCTCAGTAAAATGGGGCTAGAAAATGTTAGCTGTTGATATCCCCGGGATCAGGGAGTGTGCCCCGGGTCCCCAGTGCCTAGGAAAGGCTATAGTGTTCCATCCAGTTTTGCTGAGTGAATAAATATAAAACCCACAGAGTGATGTGCTTTTAAATTTGATAAGTTCCATTTGGAACTTATACATGGAAATTTCAGTAAGCTTAGTATTATTATTCTGTTTTGCTATTAAGTCTTTTTATCATCAATATAAGGCAAACTAGATTGGTTTGTTTTGGGGGTAGATTAAAGGAGAAAGAGTATATCTTACCCTGGTGCTGAGTCCTAAAGGTGGAAGGATGCTAAATGCAGGTTGGGTGGGACTCTGGTGGTGGGTGTTAGCGGCAGAGAGATCTTTGTAGAACAGCCCTTGCTTATTAAGTCCCAAGTTACAGATGAGGAAACTGAGGCTCAGTGAGGGAAAAGAGATTTTCTAAAGCTGCACGGCTTCTAAGCAGCAGCGTTGGGTTTCAAGTAGGGTTTGGTGACGCCCAGTCCAGTCTAACTCTGGGGGTGCATCCCTGAACTACAGGTTTGCAAATGAGGGACAGGCCGCTTGTGTCATGGAAAGGAGGGGGCGGGGTGAACGGTGCAGGAACTGGATGCTCAGAGAGACGGCGCATCGGGATATAGTGGTTGGGGTAGGACCTGGAGGGCCCTGCGTCCGTTGCACCTGAGCACGCGGGACCCAGTGGTGTGACCTCGTGTGCCCCGGACTATGGAGCCTCGGTTTCCTTATTTATAAAAGTAGGTAACAGTCAAGTGCGCCCCCCTTTCTGGGCTTTTGAGGTATGGGTGGGGGGCTGTCCTGAACTCCTGGAGGAGAAAATATTGCCAGGGGGCAGCTGGTGGTCACCCAGCGTCCAGCCCCACCGACTGCCCGCTCGCTGCCCCGGCGCTGCTCCGTTCGCACAACCCCGCGTGGCGAGCCAGGCCGGGCCGGCCCCGAGTCGTGAGTGCGCGCAGCCTTGTCATCAAATTATCCCTCCACGTTCACAGAGGGGAGGAATTATTGGCAGAAAATGAGGACATAAAACCCCGCTGGAGCCTAGCACCTTTTTGGGGCGCTCGGCGCCGAGCACTTGGAAGCCGTCCCGCAGATTGGCTCATTTTTAATGGTCTAGGACTGTAGTTCATCTGTTTAATTCAAACGAGGTGACATAATATCTTTCATTTGGACTTATTACCAGCGCGGCGGTGATTCGGCTCCCAGCATTCTCCGGGCAGGACAGTCTGTCATTACCGCACATGTTCTCTCTCCCGCCAGATTGGAAGTCCGCTGGCAGGGCAGCAGCCTCGGAGCGCAGGGATCGGCGGAGAGTAGGTCACACCGGGTATTAGGGAATGAAAATGAATTCATTCTTTCCTCCGTTGAATAAGCAGCTGTACTTGGGTCTCCGTGATGCATGAAATAGGCTGTCAGGAAAGTAGGAAATGGGCTGCGTTTGAACTTCACCGGCTGATTCTGCCCCCGGCGCGCTGGAGACCGCTGCTGCCACCCAGGGAGGACAGGGGGTGCGCGCGTTCACGGGCACCTGCATGCGCTGGACGCCTGGTTCCTGACGGTCCTGCGGGCCGGGGGTGGGGAGCCACTTTATTGTCCTCATTTTGCAGATGAGGACAGTAAGGCTCAGAACACTTCCGAGACTTGCTTAAGGTCATTTAGGGGCAGCGCCGGG